GTGGACAACGGGAGGTGGGAGGGGGGCGACCCTCAAAAGTTTGGGGACCACTGGTCTTCACAGTCACCCCACACAAACCATGTACTCAGGGTGGTCTGCAGAGAAGGAAGCAAAGCATTGAGAAGTAAAACTAACCACCACCATTCTTTATTCTAGCCCCAGCACCACGGAGCAGCCAGCCAGCAACCCTCTGCTGGTTGGTTCTGGTTTTACGCCTGATCCCATCTTCAATTTCCTCACCCAGAGTGAAAGGCCCCAAATGAAAGATACTAACTGGTCATTGCAAATGCAGATGATTGGCCTTAATAAGATGCCGCCTTCCCGTCTCCTTTTTCTGCCACCTGCTCCGCCCGGGTTAGCTGCCGGCTCGGTCTCCATGTCCTTACGGTTGATGATGCTTAGCAACACGTTAATAGAAGCCTTGAAGAATTGGGTGGGGGAAAAAAGCGTGAACGTTAGTTATGGAGGGACGCGGGAAAGAGTGAATACGACTGAGCTAATTCTCCGCTATGGGGAAAGCCGGGGGGTGGGTCAGGATGCTCGACTCCAGTGCCGCTGGGTGGGGCACTCATCAGCTGGATCTCTCTTCCTCGGGGTCTTCTGCCAAGATCAAGCACAGAACTGGTGTTAGTACGAGATCTGTCCATTATTGGGGGGCGGGCACCGCGATCCAATCTCTACGCTCGACAGTCCTGTACCTATCCTCTCCCCAAGACGCCCAAGTGTACCAAATGCTTTTCTTGGACGGAAGCCCACAAGCACACAACCGAGTTAAAGGCTTCACCCCATTCTACATCTGAACTCTCTCTCCCCCATTTCCGACTTGCTTAGAACCCTCTCGACCTCTTTCCCAGTACGCGTGGCACACATTGCAGACATGAGTCGCCACCACTAGGAGTCAGGCTTTGACATCTCTCATTGGGCCCAGCCAGAGGAGAAGCCAGGCTAAGTTCTCCTCTCTCAGAAAGTTACTGACCAGTCTGGACTTGCAAAGCGGAGCTATGGTGACTAAACACACCTGCAGCAAACCACTAAGGGCCAGATTTTTAAAGGTATTAAAGCGTCTAGTGGGATTTTCAAAAGCCTCTAGCCACTGAACTCCCACTGATTTCAGTGGGTGTCAGGCAAGTAGGTGTTTTTGAAAATATCCCTGGGTGCCTAGGTACCTTTCAAAATCTGGCTCTAAGTGTCTTGGTCACTTTCTTGCTCCCCCCAACAAAGAAGAACAAGAGATGAGGAAACGGTAGGATCTCCCCAGCTATGAAACCCAAGGTTGGGCCCCCCTCACAAGTCACAGAGCTTACAGTTGGCGCACCGTCTATCTCATCAATGACCAGGCAATTGGGCTTCTCACTGGCCCCCAGCACAGACTTCATCTGAGTAGCAGCTTCAATCCGCGTTTTGAATATGTCCGGGCTGCGGTCATCACTGAAACGAAAGCCGTTTGGAGCCGTTTATATCCCTCTTGCGCTTATTCTGCCTTGAAGATATCCTGCCAGGATAGACCGGAAGGCCAGGCAAGAGAACCGACTCACCTGGCGTTCATTTCAACGACGTTGTATCCTGCATGCTTGGCAATCACGTGGGCCAGCGTGGTCTTCCCCAAACCCGGTGGGCCACACAGCAGCGCCACCTGCAGCAGAGAGTGGGAATACAGAGCAATGCACACCGTGTGCCCAGCACCGCAGGAGACAGTCGCTCGATATCAAACAAGGTCTATGTTGCAAAGGGTTAAAGCTCTAAAAACTGCTCTGTCTTTAAAGCTGCCCCATCTTCTACCTCCCAAGGCTCCGGGAACTTCTTGGCATTAAGACCCTATGGTGCTTTATACAGCAACACTAGCCCAGTAACCTGATCAAATCCCAGTTCGGGTCATTGTAACCTTGCCTATTTAATTCCTGCCATTTCAATGAAATTCTTCTTCACTTCCTGTCTTCAATGATCCCGTGGCACTGCTATTAAACACCACCCTAGAAGTGGCTCCACGGATTGCTATATTTATGCATTTTACATGGCCAAGTTATAAAAGCAAACGAAAACAGTTCACTTATTCAAAGCGATGGGAGAATCCATTACTGGAACACATAAGTCAACCTGAACTATAGGCATCAGTGCCCGCTGTGCCAGCAATATGTATGACGGTATATTTAAGTTTGTAGAGTGCTTTGGGATCCCTTCAGGGTGACACATTCTGCATAAGTGGTTAAGATCCCAGCAACGTATTTACTTAAAACAATCTTTGCCATAACCTTAATTTATATCCCTTAACTTGCTGTTTAATCCAACGGAGGAGATGCATGCAGCGCTATTCTGCTGTTGGGTATCTATTCTTATTTTCCCTTTAAAATCCATTGACGGGACAGAGCTAAGCTGATAAAATCATAAACTGAGCGTATGATTTCATCCTCCTATGATGTATCCTCTGCTGGAAGGAATCGTGCCTGCTTCAGTGTATGTAATGTCGCCCTCTAGTGGAGGTGATTTTCAGAAGACAAGAATGAACTACAGGCCAAGCACAAGTATGCGCCGAGTTGAAGCTAGCATGCCTGTGCTTGGAACAATCTCCTTTCACCCCAGCCGCGATCCCACTTTTTAAACTTGCAAAATGCAAGAGCAAGCCGCAGTTGACAGGAAAACCCCAAGAATTCACTTCAATTCTAAAAAGTAAATCCCAATTCCTCAGGGTTGTGCTGGAAGAGGAGGGGCCAAGCTGCTAATCCGCACCTTGTATTTGGGTCTCTTGTGTTGATCCAGTTCAGCCTCCAGAATCTCTTCTGTGAATTGTGCCTTACTTCTCCATCTGTTCTGCTGCTCCTTGGGCTGTCTGAATGGAGGGCGGGCGTCCGCGCTCAGCTTCGCTTTCTTCACCGTTTTTTCCTTCCCGAAAACCACCACGTCCCACAGCTTCAGCCACTTCAGAAGACAGCGATTTGTGTACTGGACGACAGAGGAGGAAAGGGGGCAGGATAAATAATCAAAGGTGCTTGAAGGATCTGCCTGAGCAGACATGTGCAAGAGAGACTCCCCCGTACAGAGCTGAAAGCATCCCCCCCTCTGGAGCTTAAAAAGCTACTGTTTATGGACCGCACAGATCTCGGTTGGAGGTTCTTTTCTGCGTGCACACATGAAACCACCACAGTTGAGCAGATCAGACTCGAGCCTTCAGGAGGCCATAGGGATTTCTCCCCAGCCCACCCTCGACCCCAGAATACACACGCGCTCTGTGTGTGTCCCCCAATACGTGGATATAATTAACTAACTCAGGCATATGACATTTTAATCTTCTTGAATGGAAGATGCCATCTGGGTTTGGAGGTGCAAGCACCATCTAGCGGGCCCAGGACTGGATCAGGAATCAGGAGACCTGTGTTGTATACGCAACTCTGTCACTGGCCTGCTGGGTGACCCTAGGCCTGTCCCTTCCCACCTCTGTGCCTGTTTTCCCTCCCACCCTTTGCCTCGCTTGGCAACTTAAATGCTAGGTTCTTTGGGGCAAGGACCGTCTCTCACTAGGTCTATGAA